AGAGTCAGGAGCGGCAGGATCAGGCAAGGCCCTGCCCGGTGCAGGCCGAATCACTCCACCAGCAGACAGGACGGCAGTGATAGGCAGCACCCGTTGCATGCCGATGTCGGTGAGTTGGCAGCTATGCCATGAAATGTGTCACCTGCGTGAAACGCCAGGTTTCCCCGCAACCTTTGCTCCGCCCCAGCATTCGACGTAAGCTGTCCAACATGACCGCTTGCGAGGCATGGAGCCACACAGTGCGCGGTGGTGCAGTGGCCGCAAGATCCCGCACGCCAATGGGCAGCTCCTCGGGACCGCAGGCGCAGAGCTGGTTGTACGAGAGCTCGATTTCAAGCACTGCCATCACTGAGTTGCAAAGTTATCGAGTTGTGTGCACTACGTTATTTGTGGCCTGCCCGTACGAGTGCCGGCTGAGAACCTTGCCCGGAGCTACTCCGGTAGGCGCGCTGCCGCCTGGCGGTGCTTGGAATTGAGCTTGGCGGCAGACGGAGCCCTGAAACCGCGCAGTTCATCCGGCTCCTTGCTCGCAGCCGAGTGCGCTCGGCCCCACCTCCGTGCAGGCGCCTGGCAGTAAATGTGTGCCGCTGGTTTGCGCTTTTGTCCTTTGCCGCAGCCGGAGCCGTCGCGGCCAGCCTGTGTTCCTGTTGCTGGCCAATGCTGACGACGCTCATGGGGCATGATGGTGCCACGCTCAAACTCAGCGATCTGGTCGCTGAAGACCCTGCCGTCAGCCCTCTCCCAGTTGCCAGCCGCCTCCCGCTGCGGCCTGAGCAGTGAGCTTTGGACTTGGATTGTCGCCCGCATATACTCAAAGCCCTGGACTCTGGATGCCGCCCCGGATTCTGGCCTACTGAGCACCGCCATGCAGTGGGACCGCGGATCGCCCCGAACATGCGCGTGCAAACAAAAAGCAAGCGTGACCCGTCGGGGTTGAGGTCGGTGGCCGCTTTGGCAACGAAGCCGCCACCTGGCTCCGCCTGTTAGCACGGCTGTTCCTCCACCGCGTCGGTCTGGGGTTGTTGGCAATTACCGCGCAGCCTGCTTTTGCCGCGGCCCCCCTCGAGCCCCCCACTTGCCGGCGAGTGTAACCTCGCTCGGGACGCCCCGAGCTGCACGAGGTCCTTGCTGACGTGCGTTGGCAGCTCCCCATACCCGCGAGCTGCCAGGGGCGCGAGCCGCCAGGGACCACACTAAGGAGTCACTAAGGTAGATGCGGGAACCGCGCGTTGTCGTGCAGTTGGAAAAAAGCTTGACCCAAGTTGTGCATGCAAACTTGCGACGTACGAAGCGAGTTTCCAATACAGGCAAAGACATGTCCCAGACCCATCTTGATCAACATTGCGACGGGAATCTTTCCTGAAGATCAAGCACGCGTCGGTTCCAGAATTTCTGAGGTTGATGTTGGTAAATCTTCCGATGTTTTTTCCGAAAACAACTGCCTCGAAAAATGACTAAAAAATGCGTAGTGCGATTGGCACGTGCTTGTCACATAAAATCCTCTTGTTGGCCCAGCACGCAGGGGCTGCTGCAAACAAATGGAGTTCAACGATAAGCTACGGTCGCGCCCTGGTCCAGCAAAAGCAACGACCGCTTGCTTTTCCACAAGTTCAGGATAAAACCAAGGTTCCGTAGCGCACCAACTAATGATCGCAACTTGTCCACGAACTGCTCGATAACCAGATTTGCAGTCAACAAACAACAAATGCGCTTCCATGTAACGACCGCACCTCAACTCCAATTGTTCCTCCGGCTGCCCGGGTCCAGCACAAACTCAAGCGTTGGACAGTCGCAAAAAGGCACGTGAAAAAAAAACAAGCTGTTAAGGTTCATCTGCGAGAGTAACCTTGCGCAACAACCGCATATTTGCAACCGGACGAAAATCGTTTGTATTTTTTGCTTCGTTGTTTTAGCCAGCGTTCTCCGCCATGTACTTGGCACATCACTTGTGACGAACGCGTGGTTCAATAACCCCCGCAAAACGTGTAGCAGTGCATGAGGCGTTTGCTTCAATAGTTCCGTTGCCACCCCGCGCTCCTCACATGATTTATTCAATTTCCAAGGTTGGATTGCCATCTCAAACTCCTGCATGGTGCACAGGTGATCTTCCAAGGGGCCGGTCTGACTGGCATAAACCCCATGCCGAAAAACCAATTAGACAACTTGTTTTTAGAATCGTGCGCCGGAGGTGTCGCAGGTGCACTGCGGGAAGTGAACTGCATCTTGCCAAGCTCCTCCCAAGTCATGGTTGAGCAGCTGAGAATGCGCAGGGCGGTTCCGGCAGATGCCAGCAGTCGCCCACCGCCAGTGGGCACAGGGCGCCGCGAAGAGCGCAGCCCGTCACCTGGCAGCCCGGCACGCGTCGCGCCTGCACTTGGCAGGGAGTCACCCGATGTCACACGTATTCACCCGTGTAGAGCAAATGGTGAGGGCCGTGCTGGGCTTGCGCAACTCAGAGATCTGAAGGGCCATTCCCGATGGCTAGACATTTCCTTTCAACAATGAAGGCTTCCACCGGCACCGCCTGTTCAATCCTGCCGCGGCACCGGCCATGCCCATGCACAGCTGCGTAGCTCATGTTCTCCTTCGTGCCTTCAGCCAGTTTCAGCGGAGTTGCATAGCCGAGCCCCCCGCCGCATGCCATGGGCCGGCGTGCGAGTGGGCGAGGCGTCCCATCAAGTCCCATCATGCCCCATCACAGGACTTTCACGCACGACGTGCGCGGGCCGCGGACGCGTTGCGACGTGCTGGCCTGGCCGCACTGGAGTTCGAAAATTCAGAAATTGCAGTGGATGCCGTCAGCGTCGTTTCCTCCGAGGCCACGGCCCCGGACGGCGCACTCGGCAGGCAGCTTGGGCAGCCGAACGATGCTGCGCTGCGAGCCGCCGGCAGCTATGGCAGGCAACGTGCCCAGACGCAGGGGCCCAAACGCCGTGCCCCGCCAATGGAACTCGACGCAACGTAGGCGCCCAGACGGCGCTGGCAGAGGCCCCGCCAGTTCAGGCGCCCCGGGTCACGTCTGTGTTTTTACATAATTTCCCTTCCTGAGGGGGCGCCAGTTGATGAGCCGGCATGGCTGGGCGGTTTGTTGCCGGCTGCAAGAGGTTGTGTCATTGCTGACCGATGCAGGGGGCACCGAGAGGGCTACATACGAGCAATCGCTTAGTTCTCGCTCTCGCAGGTTCAAGGCGGCACGCCGCTGGCCGCATAAGCATGATGGTCGCGGCGGTGGTGGGGTCTGTTCGCAGTTGCAGCGCAGCGCTCGAAGTCTAGTTGGCCTCTTCTGTCCGGGGACTGCGAACATCCCTTTGGCGAGCGCGCAAGACCGTGGAGCCGGCACTTCCCAGCAGGCCGCTTCTGCGTTAGTGCCGCTATGTGCGGTTTTGCCGCGGGTCAGCAGGGGCTACGGATGCCAGTTGCAAAACGGTCCGAATTGAAAGGGAAAAACAATTCTTCCACAATTTTCACATGCATAAGGGAACTGTCCATGTTTTTCATCATTTGAACGCATCATTCATTATTCATCATTTGTGAATGGAAAATCGAGCTTTTGGCATAAACTGTGAGAACAAAAACAAAAAATACCGACAAACACAAAAATAAAATTCACAAATGAATTTTGCGTACTTAGTCCAAGGGGTCCAAGGGTGTAAGGAGTTTTGATTTATCATCGCCCCATTTCTCGAAGCTTCGCCCACTTAGTCCAGGTAGTCCAGGCTGTGCCCCATTGGTCCAAGGGTGCGGAAAGGTGCTGATGTATCAACGCCGTATCAGTCCAAGCCTCGCCACATTAGTCCAGATTTCGCCCCATCAGTCCAGATTTCGCGCCATTAGTCTAGGCTATGCCCCGCTAGTCCAAAAGTGGGAGGAGTTCTGCAGAGGGACGCCTGTGTGCAATTTTTTTCGAGCCGCCTTTAACGCGATACAACGTTGCCCGTATCAAACACGTCGGCCGCAAATAACAGCAGCGCGCCGCCACAACGGAAGCTGCATTTCCGCAATTTTGGAGGGTCGGTTGTAACGGTGGCGGTTTATTCAAGCAGTCCATCCGTTCTTGTATGGGACCCGGAAAAAATGAGAGCCGCTCAGCAAGATCAAACTACATTGTCGTTGTTTCGGTCACATTCGAAAACCCATCATGCCAGGCGCAAGCTTCTCTTTCCCGCTTGCTCGCCGTCAAGGACAGCCCATTAAAATTGCAGGCCATTGCCACAGAACATTTGCATTTCTGTGTTTGGCATGTATTTGAAATTCCATCAATGGGGCTGCGCGTTATTATGTGACAACTTGCAAGGTGCAAACTATTCGAGAAGTCCGTGCGCAGTATTGGCCGAGTCCGATGGGGATTTCCAACCTGCAGCGGGCAGAGGGCGTGCCAACAGACGCCGAGGTTGCTGATGTTAATCGTCCGTGATGCATTGCATGCGTGCGCATGGGAGACATGCATGTGCAACGCTGGGCAGATGGAAGCTTGGCACGACGAAGTGTTGGAGCTTCCTCGTGCTATTCCGGATGACAGGCCGACCTTTGCCGGAGCCTTGATAAGTCGAGTTGGTTTCCCAGACAGTTGTGACCGCATGTGATGTTCAGGACATAGCAGCTGCGCAAGCCGTGAATGTCGAAACACAGACGCCTGTGGACATCGCATCCGATGCAGTGCCTTTGTCTTTGCGACAACGCCCGAGCCCGCAAGGCAAGTAACGCTTGTGTTGTGCCTTTAGCATGTTGGAATCTTGAGGCAACGCGTCATGTCAGATGGCAAGCTGGCAGGGCTACACCACACAAACATTCATATCACATGTTAGGTGTCCCTCCTGCAGAAGCTGATTCGGCAATTGCGCTGGGTCAATTCCACAAAGGAGCAGCGCCCGCACAAATGGTCAATGAAGTGATGCCTGAAGGACCTGTGCTCATGAGCTGTGTGCACGCGTTTATTCAAGTGAGAATCCGTCCAATGTCGAGGAATAGTCGAAGAAGGTTTGGCCGATGTGTTTGCTGGCATGGTTGCTGGCTTGCAATTTTATTGCCAGCGTAGGCTGCCCAAAAGGTTGCATAGAGTCTTGCCGAGACATACGCCAACAGCTGATGCCAAAATCGTGCTTTTACAATTCAGGATGAGAAGGAGCGAGAAGCTCTGGCGACTATTGTTCGGGAGCAGGACGAACTTGCGCAGCATCTCGGTTGCAAAGTGCTTACTGATTTCAAGCTCATCTTGAAATCCAAAATTCCATGACATTTTGTCTGTGGATTTTCATTTGGATTTTCATTATCTTAAATTCTAGTCAAGCCTGGGCATCCCAGCCTGGTCGTGGTTGTACGGTTGTTCAATGCAGGCAAAAAGCGGACTCAGAACGAGCTTTGCAGCAGCAAGAGCGCACCCTGAAGGAAAAGGAGGAGGCTTTCAAGGCAGCAGCAGCTAGGACTTTTTGTTTGCAGGTATCTGGAAGCTGTTGGATTCAATGGATGCTTCACAGGATGAATTGGAGGGCCTACGGCAAGAAGCCAGCCAAGCCGAGAGCAAGCTCAGAAGGAAAACTGAAGAAGACATCGCACGCAAAGAGCAAGCCCATCAGGCCAGGATGATGGGGTGGGGGCAAAAGGTTAAGCGTATAGAGATCTATAGAGCAAGGGCTAGGGCTAGGGTATGGGTACGTTCCGTTTGGCCGGTGCATGCCGGTGCTCACACTTCCCTTTGGTCGAAGGCCGCTCTTCGTGCCGAAAGGGAGAAGCTGTCCCAAGAACAATACAAGCTTCGGACACGTTACATGGGCGAACAGCTTGTCCTTGAAGCTCGGAAGCTCAAGGATGAGCTGCTGCGGCATAAGCGTGTGAGGCTGGCTTGCGGAAACGTGCTGGATGCTTTTGCAAAGGGAGCATTTTGCTGGGCATTGTGCCGAAGCCTTGAAGCCTACGCCCCAGACCAATAGATGCCTCCAAACATGAGCGGGTCATTCGTCAGGCCCTTGCGTGCCGAAGCGGTGAAGGTGCTTTGGCGGACGCAGGACCATGCAACCAAGTTGTCCCTATTTTGTTTGCAGCCTTTTAGATGCAGGATGACTTTTTAGATGCAGGATGACTTGAACCGGATAATGACCGGCAAGCAGCTGATGCTGCGCAGATCCAACGGGGCCGCGCTGCAGTCTGCTGCTTGTCTGGGACCAGCTTCATGGTGGTGTGTTTAGCAGCGTGTCTCACGCCCAAATGCAGCATGGCGCAGACAACTGAAGTGATTAGAGATTTGTCACTTCTTTCCCAAAACTGTTGTCGAAGGAGAATGTATGTGCGTTTGCCATCGGCAGCGTGCGCGAGTGGGTGTTCCGGTCGCGAGAGTGGATAGAGGCGAGCTCCTTCGCACCAGATGGCAAGAGCATTGAGACAGCATCAAGTCTTGCCCAACGATCTGAACCACAACTGCGCCTGTACAGCAAATTTTGGTATGGGCTTCTGACGCACGGTTGGCTCTAGGATTTGGGGGCTCAAGGTTAGGCATGGTTGACTCAGAGTTCTCGTGGGCTTCAGGGGGGGTTTAATGGCTTAATTAGCTGAGGAAAGCCCAGCTGACCGAAGCGATGGAGACGATTTCATCCTTCAAAGCTCGAGCAAAGGCTCTTGCGAGCAGGATGTTGCCAGAGGGCCAGGGAGCAAGCACCCCCAGGTCAGAACCCAGATGTCGTTGCAAATTTGGGACATTTTCTGTGATGTGTTGTAAGCATGGAGGTCTGAGCCACAAACGTGGAAGGTTGCGGAGGGGTTGAGTATCGAAAACGAGCAGGCTCAGGTGCGAATACAGGCAGGCCGCATATCCATGCAGCAACCATGCTCAGCCAGGGCGTCCGGCAAGCAGTAGCAGCGCGGCTGCAGGATGCGGAGGCGCTTGACATGTCCGAGCAGCTCTCAGCAGATCTGATTCTTGCGTGGCAGGCCAAGCTTGACAAGTTGGCCGAGGAGGAGTCCATGCCTCATGCAGTCTGGAACCTGCATGGCATTTTCTGACTTGAGAGGACCTGGGCGTCGATTTCCTAATGCGATGGTCAGAGCAGATCAGCGCAGTTGGCCTCAAAGGAATGCAGACCCAACGCCAATCAAAGGACTGCCCAGCTGCGACAGCATCCTGTTGATCGGTAAGATGTGAGGCACCTGAATCCCGTGTCGCTAATATTCAACCCCCTCCCCCGTAATATAAAATATTCCCATTATGGTAGATTGTAATATATTGGGAATCTTTTATATTAGGAGGGGGATGGGTTTAATACTAGGGGGAGCGGATTGCACGTGAGGAGCTGTCGGAACGGATCGAGGCAGCACTCAAGACTGAGGCTCTGCGACCGGGTTGTGTATCATCAGTACTGGTACGAGGAACATGTGGGGCTTTCCCAAAGTTAGTGGTACCATTGTAGGGTTCCCTATAATACGGACTAATGAGAGTGCTTTGGGATCTTTATTGGGCCCCCCTACTTGGGAAACTACCATGTACATAGGGTGAGTATCAGTTTTCAATTTCCATTATCAGAAAGCAAACGGCGTGTGGAATTTCCAGCCAGCATTAGTCAGACAGTTCGCTGTTGCCTTGTGAATGGGCTTGGCTCTGCTGTGGTGTCTGTGTTGGCATCTGTATGTCAGGTGTTCGGGTCGGAAACGGAGTCAGTGTTAGGAAGTCTTAGATGTTGAGATGGGTCCAGCCCTCTCATATTCACAGCCCCTACTTCGCGTGTCCCCTTGAATGACATGATTCCAGTGTGCACGCTTCCAAGGGACCCATGTCCAAAAGCCGCATGTGAGAAGCTGTTGCGAGGCCACGAAGTACCGAAATCTGGCCCAGGCAGCGTATGCAGAGGTCGCTGCTGCTTGCTGAAAAGTTGCAGCAGCTCTAAGGATCTTAGATTTTTGGCTTAACCTTTGGCTCGTATGCTTTCGGGTTCAGAGCTTCAGGGACTTAGACTTCAAGGATGACACGGACAGGATGACCAACGACGCTCGGGTTCTGGGATGAACGGTGGTTGCTGAGATTTTGGGGCCGGGCCGGGGCCGAGCCCCGCTTTGCCGCTGCGGTAGCAGCGGAAAGTAAGACGCCTGGACTTGCGGCAGGTGCAAAAAGTTGCGTAGAAAAACAGCTTACATCATCATGGATGTAGGGTTCGTGGCCTTCGTAAAGACACCAACAACAGCAGCGCCCATTTGCCGAGTGTGTAAGTTTTTGGCAAAAATCATTGTGGTCCGACACTGAACACTGCACAAAGTATGAGGTCCTGATTGCTGGTACACCCCAAAAGGACCTCCCCGTGGAGAATGTCGAGCCCTAAAGCACAAACCCTAAACCATAAATCCTAAAGTGCGTGCGAAAAGGGCACAAACCTTACACCCCAGACTCAAGATCAACCCTAATCCTCAAACCCTAGATCCCATCCCCAAATCCTCAAACCCGCCCTGAATCCCAAACCCCAAACCCCACACATGGAACCCTTTGCACTGTCCTGCAGGCATCAAAAGTCCGAAGGGTTCAAAAAACAATCCCTAACCATGAACCTGTGTAGCTGAGGCTGACAGAGAGGCAGATGAGACCCTTCACAGAGCTCGAGACTTGGCTGCTGTTGAGCAACTTAAGTTAAGTTGCAATACTAAGGGCTTTTTGGGGTTTAGGGTTTAGAAAAAAAGGGGTTTGGTGTTACTGTAATAAGGAAACGCTGTCATTTGCTACATGCCCATTTAATGGTAACTTCATTTGAGTCGCGTAAATCGCAATATTACCACAGTTTCCATTTCATTTTCCATTTTCTTTTCCATTTGATTCTCCATCATCGGGGGATAATCCAGTAACTTCAGTAAAAGTTCCCTAAACCCTAAACCCTTGTAAAAAGTTCCTTAACAGCAACCCAGGAGAGTCGCGCAAGCGAGAGGAGGCGAGGGAGGCCCGGAGTTTTTTAGGAGCCGGTCTGCATGACGTGCCCACTCTATTGGGGGTTTATACATGTGGGGCTCGATTTGGTGTGCATATATACATATATATGTGTGTGTGTGTATAGTCCCCCTTAAGAAGATAGACTATGGCTTTGGGTATTTTATAATAAGATCCCCTTTTACCCCACATAATATCTACTTAAGGGGGACTCTATATATATATATATACAATATTTATTGCCTGACATATGAGTTGGGTTCAGAGATGCAGAACGATGCTTGGAGAACTCCAGCTAAACATCCGAGCCCCCAGCTCTGATATGTTGTAATTCAGTAGAAGGTCACGGGCTTTCGCGACAGTAAGGACGTGAATATCATCGGCGCAGAACAGTTTTTGCCTAAACCCTTAGGGGGTACATTGGGTTTAGGGATTAGGGATGAGGGATTGAGGTTTAGGGATTATGGTTTAGCTTAGGATCATGGGGAGATGGGTTGGATAGCCTGAGGTGTCCAGACTCAGGAGTGTCTGCCAGACAGAAATGCAGCAAGAAGGGTCCACAGGGTCAGACGGCTTCCTGAGAATTCTATAGCAGGTTCCATGGCTCTTCTTACTGCTTGTTAGTAGGGATAGAATATATAGAGGTTATATGAAGTTTCCCAAGACAAGGGATATCTTTTTGGGGTCCCTATAAGAAGGGCATAGTATATTGGAGCCTATCTGGGGGTCCCCCTATTTTGGGAAATTACCGTATAGGGATTACATTCCTTTATTCCCTACTAACGGCCAGTAAGTTCCCTAAATCCTAATCCCTAAGCTCTAAATAGTAGATTCCATTTTATTTTCCATTATCCCAGTATAACCCCAATATAATCCCCTATATAACCCTATGATTTTCCATTAGCCCATTAAAGCCCCAAGCATCCCTAAACCCTAATCCCTAAACTTTAATCCCTAAACCCGGTTCCCAAGCGGCGCAAAACAGAGGCGAATGAAAAGGCAGCAGCACTGGTGGCGTGCGACAGGGCAAAGGAGATCACTTCCAATGAGACTGGTGGAGAACACGGCCTGGCCACGATGGATGCTGTTGGTTACGAAGCCGACGTCATGCTCCAGGCGGCCTTGCTCGGGAGAAGCTGCGGCTGCCGCTGGAGTGGGAGGATTGGAGCTATTACCTGCCACTACGGATGGACAGTCGACCCTCGTTCAAGCTGCTGCTAGCGATGAGCTGCTGCCTGGTGGAGATTGATTCCCTCTTTGGTGGCATTGCGCGCCGGAAGTTCAACTGAGAGCAGGGTAGGAATGTGCACAGGGTTTCTGGTAAGGGATGTCCCTGAATACGTGAGTCTTCCCTGTTTGCCTCTTGGTTGCCCGGCCTCTGCGCTGTCTGGCCGACTTTCTGCGTAGATGCGCCTCACTCCTCCGGATGGCTGGCAAGTTGCAACATTCTTTTCGGAATTGGAATGCACCTGCCTTTGAAGGCTTTCCATGCAGATGGAAAAAGGTGTGGCACAAAAAAACCCTAAACCCTAAATCCTAAACCCCTAAACCCTAAACCCTAATTAGGCAGTCTGTAGCAACGCCGCGCTGTGATGACACGCGTTGCTTCCCTGTTCCAGGCAAAGCGCAAACAAGAATTGGAAGAGAAGATACGAAGAGAGCAGGCAAGGGTTCCTAGACAGGGTTTAGGTATTTAGGATTTAGGGTTTAGGATTTAGGGTCTAGGATTTAGGGGTTTAGGATTCATAGGAGTTTAGGGTTTAGGGGTTTAAGGGCTTAGCCCAGGGTTCAGCCCCCTAAGCCAGGAGTCCGACAAGGAATATCCTACTGTAACTCTTATTCTCTACAGTTGCCCATCCTGTGCCCACTGCTACCCCCTAAACCCTAAGCCCTACGCCCTCAACCCTAAACCCTAAGCCCTAAGCCCTAAACCCTAAACACAGGAAAAAGCGCTGAAGGAAAAGGAGAAGCTGGTTCCTCTGAAGCTCCGGGTGACTGGACTCAGGCCACCAGGGGATTTTTTGCAGGAGAACGGATAACTAGATGTAAGAAACAGAAAAAGGGGGCGTGAAGGTTGAAACGGGGGTTGGTACAGGGATTGTAGTGTAGGCGCCTAAATGATTTGAGTAGGGTGTTCGCGCATATCATGTTGTGGCTATATGAGAGTTATCAGGGAAGAACGTGACTATTCAGGCTGCTGCATGAATCTCCTTCCACCGGAATGTTTCATAGGCTTGCACAGTTGAGATGGTCAACACAGAATGATCTTTCCCCAGAAAAGGAGAACCCAGCCTAGCCACTGGCAAGAATTGTTGATGAAGGACATCTTGCACAGCCTAGGGCCACTGAACTGTTGTAATTCCAATGATTTAGGCCACTAGGTTGGGACGGACGTATCAACACCATGCAGGGGATTGCCTGCAACATGTGGAGGCTGATCCATGAAGAGGCCTACACTCCTTCAGCCCTGAACGCTGAACCAGAAACCCTAAACCATCAAAACGGAGCAATCATGGAGTCTCTCAAAACCTCCCATGATCTCTTATGATCCCCATGCTTGGGTCCAAGGGCCCCCTATTTTGAGAAACTTCCATGCAAGCTTTTGCTTGGCTGCCGGAGGCCTGGCACTATTGAGGACAAGGCACGGTGTAGGGTTGGGGGTTTAGGGGGCCAGGGTTTGGGGTTGAGGGTTTAGGAATTAATTTTGGTTTCGCTGTGTTATTGTGCTGTGCTCTGTGTTGCTAGGCTGTGCACAATGATTGGGATCGAAAAGGTGTGTTCTCAGTTGGACCACCCAAAACCCTAGATCCTAAACCCAGGACAACTACCAGATTCTACGCGACTAACTCAGATTTGGGCTGTTTGCTTGACTTGTCCAGGAACACATGCATGCACAAAGATAGATATGACCCCCATCAACCCAGAAAGTCGTGAAGTCCTTAGCCCGAAAACGACCAAGACTAGGTGTGGAGAACGCCTGCAAACTCCCCATGTCCCCCATATGACAAACATCAAGCCTTATATGGTCCTTTGAATGCTACCAAAGACACCGGTAGGTCTATGTGAGCGTAATTTCAACCACCAGGCTTGGACATTGCTACATACACGACTATACATGCATATACATATGTGTGTATGTCATGATGATATATCTGGTTCTGTCTTTATATATTGATACAATGCGCTGCAGGTCGTAACCTGAACCCTCCCCTAGATCCTAAATCCAAAGCTCTGAACCCTAAACCTTAAACCCTAAACCCTACTTATTTCGAGTGTTTTTTCATGAAGGTGAAGTTCGGACACCTTGCGGAGCAGAAGGCGCGCACTCTTAGGAAGACATTCGCCCTACATAATCCAATTTGATCCTCATAGAACCCACATAACCCCTATAGAATCCCTGTATAACCCCTATATAACCCCTGGATAACCGGTGTCCTGCTTCGTTTTAGGGCCTACGGTGTAGGTTATTCAAGTTATGCTGGTATCCATAGGCTTTGGGATAAGCAACCTTAGCAGCTGATATTACGAGGAATCTAAGTCCTAGGTATATTGGGTTGCTGTTAAGGAACTTAAGTTACGGGGAAACCCTATTACTTACTATATATACCCATTATGGTAACTTAATTTAAGTTCCTTAACAGCAATCCAGTATATGAGGGAAAAAAGCACGATGGAAGGGGAGCTTTTAGGTGCCTCAGGCCCCAAAGCCTAGACTCCAAACCATGAATGCCTACCTGGACCCCAAAAGTATGTAAAATAATGGCCTTTATGGCTGTCATTATGGGTTTGGGGCTATTATTCTAATACTTTTGGGGGGTTTAGGTACACGAAAAAGCACAAGCCTCAGAGATTCAGGGCTTGGAGCTCAAGGTTGAGTTTTAAAGCCGTTCGCGAACCATCCCAGAATCTAAGCCCTAATCCGTAAACACCCTCAATGCTCAACCCCTACGCCCCACACCCTAAAGCCCAAAACCTGACGCCCTTAAGCCTCAAGTGTAAACCTTACATCCTGAACTCTCAAACCGTAGACCTTGCGCCCTTAAACTTAAACTCTACATGACCCCTATATCAACCTAGAGAACCCGTATAATTTCTAGATAAGCTGACATAACCCCTTACTCCCAGATAACCCTATATAACCACTATATACCCCCCTATATGACCCCATTGTAACTGCGAAACTTGCACCTTGTCCACTCCTCAGGTGGCGAAAGCGCTGGATCTGAAGGATTCTCAGGCCTCTCTTTGGAAAGCACCCGTGGTTTAAGGGTTTAGTGTTAAGGGTTTAAGGAGTTAGGGTTTAGGGATTTAGGGTTTGGGTATTCAGGATTTAAGGATTCAGGGTTTAGGGCTGAGGGTTTTGGGATGGATTTCTCCGCGTTTTTGGCATAACATTCTCAGGGTTTGGGCTCGGGGTTAAGGTCTTAGGGTTTCGGGTCTAGGGTTCAGAGAAATGAAGCATCCTGGGGATAGACCATGCTCTAGTGCAAGTACGATGAGTACAAATATGGACATGTACATGTTATACGTTGGGGCTTTTAAACGGGTGATAACTAGAGTTTGTGTTAAAGGCTTGTTCTACATTACTTGCTGATCTAAACCCTAAACCTAGCTTGAGGGAAGGCCGCAGTGAAAATCGGGAAGATGTCTGGGATTATGTAGGGCTCTTATGGGGATCCAGGCGAGCATGCCCAAGAAGTCATGGGTGGTTATGTGGCGATTAGACTTCTGGGGTTTGGGCAGTGCGGCTTGGGGTTTGGGAATTAGGTTCAGGATTGGGAGCTAAAAGTAGTTATAAGTAAGGTTTCTATTTACCCAGAGTGAGAGCATACATGGTGATACTTATTCTGGATAGCCCCACTGAGAAATTAGGCATGGACCCATTCCTCACACTGGGCCTGAGGAAGTTTGTGTGTAAGGGGTACGCAGGGTATATCTTCAGAGACACTCTGCCTGACTGAATTGTCCTTCCTTATCATAAGCGTAGACTCGCGCCCCCCAATTGGCTATGATATTGGTCTGGGGTGGGTCTTTCATCGCTCTTGGGAGGAGCCGAAAGTTCAGGACGTATGTTACTGTGGCCAAGAGTAGGGTGGGACTGCCAGTCACGCAATGCCCCACATTCAAGTCACGAGCATCTAAGGTTCGTGTGACAGGCATCCGCTAGTCAACACTTCTGAAGGGGCATCTCGCGACGTCACGAAGTTGGTGGAGCTGCTTGCTATCCTGGACCTCCGCCACAAAAAGCTCTGGACCCACTGGCACAGAGTGCCCATCCCTCTGTTACCAGGAAAGTGTAGCTTGCTACACGGGATTTCATGCCTCAGTTGCAGATTGCCCAAGAAGGGCCTTTCTGCGCTGAAGGCTTGCCCATGTACATACATTTGGTACTTCCCAAAAAGTATATACCCCAACAATCTACAATCCTTTGTATGGGAACCCCATGAAGGTACCCCTAATTTTGGGAACCCCCCTTTAGCCGGCAAAGGTACGGGTGTTGCAGTGATTTTCCGCCTTCGCTGCAGCGAAGAAACCTGGCAGTGGTCCTTTCTCTCCTGCCCTTTCCAGGGGTTAAAGGGTTTTGGGTTTTGGGTCAAGGGTCAAGGGTTTTGGGTTCAGGGTTTAACTTTTGGGTTTGGGGTTTCGGGTTTAGGGTTTGAAGCTAGTTGTCAGTTTTTGTTACCCTCAATCCCTATAGAATCCTTCTGCATTATATAAACCATAAAAGATTTTTCGGGCCCTCCCCCCAAACCTACCCAAGCGAGCGAGTATGTAATTCAGTGAGTTTTTGCAGGAAGCTGAGACGTGATCCATGCTGAGCCCGCAGCTTCCGCACTCACCCGCAAGAAGCAGTTAGCCTTGTCCCAAAGCACACATCATTCTCAATCCCTAGGATAGAGTTTAGGTGGACCCACCAGCCTGTAATAGTGATTATAAGGGATAATAAGGCGAATTATAATGGGAATAAGGGTGGGGGATCCTCCTCGGATAGAGCTGTCACACCAAAAACTTGCATGACCCTAAATACCTTGCATGTTAGGACCCAGCGTATTCTAGTGTACCAGCCCTTGCGCATCAATTAGGAATTAGGACCAGGGTATTCTAGCTTGCTAGAGCCATGAACCCTAAACCCCTCAACCCCTAAACCCTAAATCCCTAAATCCCTAAACTCTGAGCAGGAGAATCCCTGAAGAAAGACTGGGGGACTCCCAATCCCCTCCCGTTTCCTTTTGTAGGGTTTAGGGTTTAGGGTTGGTTTAGGATTTTGGTTTAGGGTCCCGTTTCCTTTTGTGCTGAGCCATGGAACCTATTTCTGTGACTCGGCGGCAGTTTGTCCCATTCCCGGAACTCTAAACCCCTGAAACCTGAACCCTAATCCCTGGGTACTGCCCCCCCTTACTAACAGTTGGATAATATTTATTATATGGTTATATATAGCCCCTAATAGGACCCCTAATATAGGCTGTTACTGGGGGGGGGAAGTACCCAACCTAAACCCTAAGCGGTTTTGAGGGTTCCCCCTTTCTCAGAAAGCTCCAGATAACAACTTGGGATGGTTATTGGCTGTAGTAGGGAGCCTGTTCCAAAACCACTTTTCGGGCCGCTTTTCAGTGGAACCATAATCACCTCTCTCTTAGTATTGAAGCCCCCCTCCGCCACCCTACCAAGAGATGTATACATATATATATATGTATATGTATATTCGCCTACTGTATGGTATTATATTGGAGGGGGTTATAGCTAGGGGAAGGGGATTAAGGCCTAAGCCCTACACCCAGGTGAGCATTGTACTTCCTTCGGGAGAAGTCGTGGCAGAGCTGTCAGTGACTTGCTCTGATTGTTGCTAGGGGATGAAGTGAGCTATAGTCTAAACTCCTTAAAGGGGGGGTTATGTAGGGGATTGCATAGGGAGTATTGTAGGGCTTATTAAGGGGCATGCTAGGAGTTTAGACTATAGCTCAAGTGAGTTTATGGCTTGGAGAATGGAAAGGAAAATGGGAAGGCGATGTTATTATTGGGGATGAAGGAGCCATTCTCTACCCTACGGCAAGCCCCAGGCCCTATAGTCCATACTCTTCCTGAAGTATAGAAGATGGGGTATATGGGGATCTTACTATAATACACCCAAAGCCATATTCTATCTACTCAAGGGGGGCTATAGACCCCTAACCCTAAACCGACGACACCGTCAGCTGGCAAGGTAAATCCGCAAAAGCCGGTCCTTCAGCTCAAGACTCAAATTGCTGGTCTTGAAGGCCCGTTCTAGTTCAGTGCTTCGAAATAGATAGGTAGATATATATATATATGTATAATACACATATACATGTATATATGTATCAGGGGGCTTTTGCCAGTGTGTCTTGTTTCCTTTTGGGGGGGGGGGGTAGGGCGAATATTGGATGTCCCCAAGATCTTTTTGGAGAAGCGGGCTTCTCCACAAGATGCTTAATGTCGTAGGTTTTGAAGGCCTGCTTTCCTTTTTGCGTGGGCACCCTAAACCCTAAACCCTTAAACCTCAAACCTTTAAACCGCGCTTCTCAAAGCTCACAGGATCTGAGTTTTCGGGAGTCTCGTGGCGAGGATTCGTAGGATCTTCGCGGAAACTCAGGACTTCATAAGCTGAGGGCACTGAAGTCATAGTGAACATGGCAGGGGCATGACAACAACGCTTTGCAAGCGCAGGCATGCTTATAGTCCCCTCAGGTAGATAGAATATGGCGTTGGGTATATTATAATAAGATCTCCATATACCCCATATTCCATACTTAAGGACTAAACGCTAAACCTCAGAAACTTAACCGCTGCAGCTGAAGCATCGTTTATGCAGGTACGCCCGTCGGCAACCAGATTTTGTTGCTTCATGACAAGCAGGTTGAGGATGGTGATACGCTAGAGACCTGTCGTGTACATTGCTGGGTTGCTGTTAGGGAACACTTACTATAAGAAGGGGTATAATTACAAGGTTTAGGGTTAAGGGTTTAGGGGTACAAAAATGAGGACATCTTATTATTTACGATATATATATATACAGATCAGGGCAACTGAATTTAAGTTCCTCAACAGCAAGCCAGATTGTTCAACCCGAAGGAGGGGAGGGTCAAGATACTGGTTCTTAGCAATGAATGGAGGAGGAACAGGGTTTGGGGTTTAAGATTAGGGTTTAGGGTTTAGGGTTTAAGGATTTAGGGTTTAGGGTTTAGGGAAGCTACTGTAGGCAACAGGGTTTGGGGTGGTGACTGAGGAATGGAGCGATTTATCCAAATCGTCGTAGCCCTTATATTATCCCCAATATCCTATAGTACTTACTATAGTAGTTTTCCACTCTCTTTTGCAGTGATTCATTCCCAACTAAGACCAGCAAGCCAGGGGGCGTTGTACCCCCAGATGAAGGTTCAAAGCGTCTGAATTTGAAGTGATACCGACAGCCCGAAGTCAAAAAACATCGAATCAAATTGTAGTAGGCCATAGGCCAATAACTCGTACCCTCACACCTGTAAAATCCCCATGGCAGTGGCATCAGCAGTAGGGGTATGGTGGCTGATGTCTGGCCAAGATTCCATTCAGAGCCTGTTGTTAGGGAATTACATGGATTCGGCATAGATTATGAGGAATTCCTTTTTTTCACATAGCTCTCAGATCGGCTTGTTGAGTTTGCGCCGTGCTTGCCCAGCAAAGCGGGAGGCCCTCCAAGAATCCAAGAAGGAGGCTGCACAAATGCCTGGATGAGTGGAAGCAAGCAAGCACCAACAACAGTCGTCCGTCATGGGCTCAAGGGACCTCTTTGAGCACGTCCCTGTACTACTACAGTTTGAGCAGAATCGCTGAAGCCATGATGGCATTCCACTTTGTAAACATCCAAACATTTCGACAGCAAGCATTGGCAGGGAACTTCGATTTTTTGAGAACTAGCCCTAGGATTCCAACAGTTCTGACTGAGGATAGCTTCAACATCACCTCAGCGGCCACTTTCATTCTCCTCCGCCGAGCACCCCTGTTGTCGGGTGCCATCAACCGTGAGGACCTGGATCACCTTTTGCAGGACTGTCTGGGTCTGAGTTCAGGGTTAAAGGTTAAGGGTTGGTTGTTGTACCCCTTATGTCACTTGCCATGGCCCCTATGTACCCCTTATAGACCCCTCATGTAACAACCTCTCCATGAGACCTAGTGCAAGGCCGCCGGCAACGCCAAGCTATAGCTTCTGGCAGCGGCAGGCATAGTTCTAAAGGTTGCCATTTTCTGTTGGATCCCTACTACATGTATGATTTTGGCCGGGCATGCGCACTACTCTACCCTACACCCTAAACCTCGAATAGCAGTTTCCATGTCCCTCTCCATTATCCCTACATAACCCCAGTACAATCCCTATATACATCCTATTATATAGGGCTGGGCTGTCCTTTGGGATCCTTTTTCATCTCCCCTATTAAGTTGTAGAGAACCATAATAGCAAATAATTTTCAAAGGGTACAATCATGGTAAGTAATTTTCAAAGTGCTTAAACGACAACCCCGTGGGTTATTGTCTTGATGACTCGGTTGATGACTCCTCCTGTTCTGAGACAGCTCCTGGCTGTGGTTTGGGTTGGTTAAAGGGTTTAGCTTACTAGATGTTGGTATAGGGTTCAGGGTTAAGGGTTTAGGGCTTAGGGAATATGACATAACCCCTATGTAATCCCTAGATGATATATTCCCTTATTCCCTCCTAACAACCAGTAACTTTAGGGTTTAGGGCCAAACCATGCTTGGCCGTTGTTGGCCTTGCCCTTAGTTTGGGACTAGGTAGGAAAAGGGTTCATGGTTCAGGGCTTGGATATCCTATAGCCCCCTATGACGACCAACATAGATGTCACTACAAGTACTGTGTCGCCATATGTTTGTCTAGCCCTTGAACGTTTCGATTTCATTTCCATCTTAATTATTTCCCATTTGACTTTACATTCTCGAGGTGATATCCATAAATCCGCAATCCCCAATAGTAGCTTTGTTTCCTTTCATAAGGGGACGCCAATAAAGACCTCCCCATCTTACAATCCTAACTATGGGAGCCCCCAAAATGGTAC